TAAAATACACCTGTACACAACCTCAAACTGTCACACTCCAAACTTAACTATGGCCAAGACCAAAGAGCTTTCAAAGGATGCCAGAAGTAATATTGGAGACCTGCACCAGGCTGGGAAGATAAAATCTGCTGCAGCCTTTCTACGTGGAGTTGCGTGTTCTCCCCATGCATGCGTGGGTTTTCTCCGGGTACTCCGGTTTGCCCCACAGTTCACAACATGCCCTACAGGTTAGAAATTGTAAGTCACTTTGGATAAAAGCATCTGCTAAGTGAATAAACATAATAAACATAGTAATCAGGTTGGTAGGAAGAAATCAACTGTGGGAGCAATTATTATAAAGTGTAAGACCACTGAAAATCTCCCTTGACCAGGGGTTCCATGCAAGATCTCACCCCGTGGGGTCCAAATTGTCACAAGAATGGTGAGCTAAAATCCCATGACTTCACGTGGGGACCTAGTGAATGACCTGCAGAGAGCTGGGACTAACGTTACAAAGGATACCATCAGTAACACACTACACCTTCAGGGACTCCAACCCCGCAGTGCCAGATGTGTCCCCTTCTTAAACCAGTACACATGCACACTCATCTGATGTTTGCTCAAGAGCATTTGGGTGATCCAGAAGAGGATTAGGAGAATGTCATCTAGTCAGATGAAACCATGTTACAACTCCTGAGTTCCTGAGCTCATTTGAAAACAATTCAACTTATCCTGGTTCAGAACCCTGGACAGCACCCCCCAGCTCTTGCCCCTTCATGCTGTTCAGAGGATCAGCACCACGGAGAGGGGCACGCTGCGACTCCTCCACACCTGCCTGCCTGCAGACACCAGCTGTGACCGATCGGGAATCACCCCTCATGCCTCTACAAAAAGGGAGCCTCTGCAGTTCACTGGAGAGCTTCAGAAGGGGAAAGAAAGAAGTGGAGAGGGAGGCAGGAAAAGGAGGAGGCCGACAACGACAAGAGAAGAGAGAACAACAGAAGGTGACATCAAAGGCAACGACAGAAAGAAAAAAAGGAAGGAGCACTGGGAGACGAAAGGAAACCAGTTCCAAGTGACGGGGGTGGGGGGTGGTGGGGGTGGGGGTGGGGGGGGACTTCTTTATCCATCACCTTCAACCTGCCACTGACAAAACCTGAGCTGCCAGGAGAGGATCACCTGGAGCCATTGAGAAAATGCTGGCTCCTTGCTAAGCCATAGTTGCGGGACAGATTCTTTACAATTCTTTTAGGATTCGTTTACTAAGTCGGAACTCTGCCCTTTTGTTGAGTTTGCCATTTCAGAGTTTATTTACAGAGACATCTTTTTGTTAAATAAATTCCTGTAAAATAATACCTGGTCCCCAATTGGCTCCCACCACACTAGTGTGGCCCCTCCTGGTAATGCATAGGCCAGGAGGGGTGTAACAGACCAAAATGGAACTTTTTGTTAAAAACTCGTCATGTTTGGAGGAGAAAGAATGCTGAGTTGCATCACCATACCTGCTGTAAAGCATGGGGGTGGAAACATCATGTTCTGGGGCTGTTTTTCTGCAAAGGGACAATGACGGCTGACCCATGTAAAGCAGTGGTACTCAATAGGTGGCCCATCTTTGATCCCTCCACCCCACCCCAGAGGCTGCCACTGGCAGATAGGTGCAGGAAAGCAGGCCTTAAAACACGGGTCAGCTTTAGATAATAATAACAATAATACATTTAATTTCAACAGCGCCTTTCTAGACACTCATGGACACTTGAGTCTAGATGTAATGACTCTACATGTCGTTGTTCTCTTGATCTTTAGTCTCTTGTGTTGTGGTATTTTTGAGAAATGTCTTCATTCATTTGAACATCGAAAACCTTCTTTCAGACTCTGAAGGTGTTGTGGGAGTCATCAGAATGAAAACTAGCATCAGAACAAATTCTGTGCACTGCCATCCAGCAGTTACTGAAGTAGTTTTTTGAACATTATTGATGGCTCTGAGGATTTTACAGAACAATCTCTCACAGTCCTTCAGAAAAACAAAAAGTTGCTTCTACAGGGCTGTATTTTTAACAAAATGAAAGATCAGCATGATGTAAGTCAAAATACACCAGTTCCTCACACGCAAACACTGAAAAGCGCTTGCAAGAATATTGTTTTCAGCACTTTGTATCAAAGTCAGGGAGGCAGAGATAAAGGAGCTGCATCTGCTGATACCACTCACTCCAACATGGGAGTCACGCTGGAACCATCTGGATCCAACTTCCAACTTCTAAAGAACTGTTATTGTCTCTTAATCTGGCAAGCCTAAAGAATAACCTCAACCCATAGACAGAGCTCGCTGTGGTGCAAAATCTACAGTTGGTCATGAAACTGTCTGCACGCAATTGGGGAGCACCTTCATCTCTTTCCCACCTTCTCTGTTGCTTTTGTCCGTATACCCCAAGCACTTAAAATCCTCTACCTTTTTACTTCTACTCCCTGTGACATCACCATTCCACCTGACTTGTGTCCCTCTTATTTACACATACGTATTTATTATGTCTTGTTGCAACAACTCTTCATTTCTCCTTTTCCCAGTACACATCTGCACCTCTCTAGCTTTTCTTCTACCTACACCTTACGTTTGAGAAATTGGCTCATTGATGAAAGCAAACTGGGCCATAAAAGAAAGGTATGGTTTCTGATGTTCCGTGATTTCCCCATATCCTGTGTTGTAGTGAAAAAAAAAATCATGGACATACTTTAGAGAAGGTTCACTGAGAAACATATAATGGTTGTTATTTTTTAATTGCAGTTGCTCGTGCAGAATTGCATGTATCAGAATCAGAATCAGAATAGGTTTATTGCCATTGTCAGTGAACAAACAATTCACAAATTAGGAACTTGCTTAGGTACTAATGTGCTACATATAACATGAAGATGTACAAGATGTACATACTGAACATGGAAATAGTCTTCAACCCCCTTTGCTTGTGTCATGACCTCTGCGTTCTTGAGCTCCGTTTTACCCACAACACCGTGGACAGCTCCACGCTCCGGCCCCGCTGAATCAGAGGATCAGCACCATGGAGAGAGGCATGCTGAGACGCACCCTTCCCGCCGGCCCGCTGACACCAGCTGCGGATAATCGGGACTCATCAAGACTCCTTACAAAAGAGGAAGAGACGGAGGAGAGAAGAGCAGTCGTGGGGGGGAGCGAACAGAGATCGAGCACGATCGAGCACACGAGACGAGCACCAGAGGAACGACTCGGAGAGTACAGAGATAGGAGACGAGAGACGAAACCAGACGGAAAACCGAGAGAACCAGAAACTTGCATTTTATACCGACACGGAGATCTTTCCTGGAGGAGAACCTTCTGCTTCCAGAGGGAGAGAGAGAGAAAAAGGGAGAGAGTGAGACGCCGGCCACAGTAGGAGTAATGCAGGACCGAAAGGAGGAAAAATACCCCGGGGAGGGTATTGTACGAGTGTGGGGCCTTGCCCAGAACTTTAGATTTATATTAATATAGTATAATAAGTATAGTATAATAGAATTAAGCAGACCTCTGGCATTATTATTGTTTTCATCTAACTTATTTATATCTGCCAGGGACACTTTTAGTTAATAAACTCCTTTTTAACTTTTGTCCTCTTGTTTGCTCCCACCACACTTGTGTTGCCCCTCCTGGTAGTTCCTAGGCCTGGAGGGGTGTACCAGCTTGCATCAGCCCCTGAGAGAAACTAGCTGGGCAACTATTGAGGAAAATGCCCCCGAGGTCCATGCTGACCATCACCTCCTCTCCAGTGGGTATCATCATCATGCGCTGTCATGGACTTCAATTTCACTGCTACGCCGACAATACTCTACATGTCCACCAGATCCACCACCCCAGTCATTCTCTCTATTATCACAGCCTGCCTGGACAACTTAAATCACAGGATGAACCTAACTTTCTAAAACAGTCACCCCCTCCTCTACAGCCTGCTATCTTGGCTTCATCTTTGATTCAACTCTCTCCTTCAAATCAACAACATCACCACGACATCACTTTTCCACCTCTGTAACATCGCTTGTCTCCATCCATCCCTTTCTCACTCCACTGCTCAAATGCTCATCCATGCCTTCATAACCTCCAGACTTGACTACTGCAGTAGCATTCTCTGCAGACTCCCTTCCACTCACTTACAATAACTGCAGTACATCCCAAACTCAGCTGCTCGTTTGCTCACCCATTCCCGCTCCAGAGATCACATAACCCTTGTCCTTAAGCAACTTCACTGGCTCCCAGTTCAGTACCGGATGCATTACAAACTCCTCATCACCTACAAATCTCTTAATAACCTTGCCCCACTTTTTCTCACTGACCTTCTTCACCGTTATTCTCTGACTTGTCACCTCCACTCTGCTGACTCCAATCTTCTCTCTCCCTTCAGAACAAAATACTGCACCCTGTGGGATCGAGTCTTCGTCACCACTGTCCCGATCCTCTGGAATTCACTCCCTCAAAACATCTGGAACTCTGACTCACTCCCCACTTTTAAATCACAACTCAAAACTCATCTGTTCAAACTGGCCTTCCTCTAATCATCCTCCTGTGGTTTGTGTGTGTTTGTAAAGCATCTTTGAGTGTCCTGAAAAGCGCTATATAAGTCTGATTTATTATTATTATTATTAAGGCAGGCTCCTCCATCACCATCGCTGCTGACACGGCTGATGTCATCACCTCCTCTCCGGTGGGTCATTTGAACCCATCCATCTCAAACCTCGGAGATCCCACCGCCACCATCACATCCGCTCAAGTGGGTCGGATGGACTTGTCCTCGCTTCCCAGTCCAACCTGTAGACAGTGACTACACTTACATAACCTCTTCTCTGTTGGGTCAGGTGGACCTCTCTATCTCCACCTCCATCATAGTCCAATGGACGAAACATCTTGTAGACAGTGAGGTCAGAGCCCTGTATGATAAGCCTCACCAGAATATCTTCAAACAAAGCTTTCTTCAGAAGCATTTAGAGGCTCTCCCTCTCCTTTACAAATTGACAGACAAGGAACGTTGTTTTATTTCAGTTTATTTAAATTTGTGCATCAATTGTAAATGGTAAACTGTGGCTGCATTTTATTTTAAAAAAGTTAGAAATGAAATAACTGACCTTCATGTTTTTTTAAATGTATCCTTTCCTTTGGAACATTTGCACAGCACTGGGTTCTTGCAGTATCAGTAGTCAGTGTTGCACCTTTGTGTCTGTACACTATATGTGAGCTCTAACCAGAGTCATCATTAGTTTTCATCCCTCTAAAGTAAAAATATCTTTCTTTAGTTATTATTTCTTTATGTGATAAAAATAGTTTCCGTTTCTGTTGGAGAACAGAGAATTGACTGATGTGCATTTGCAGGATGTTCAGAACGGTTTGGAGTAGTGCCCTTTCCAGCCATTGATATTGTGTTTTGTGAGGATTAAAAATTATTATAAAAGTTTAATTCACTTTGTACAAAAACACTTCATTTAGAAATCACATTTGCACAAGTAAATGTGACACTTTACTGCTAAAGAAAAAAGCCTTAGAAGTATAAAACTAAAGCAGACTTGACACTCCTCAAACAAACAAATCAAGTATGTATGCCCACGCAGAGCTGCAATGGTGAGAATTCAGTCCAAACAATTAGAACGCCCCATAAATAAAGCAATAAATACTTTGAATAAATAGTCCATGTGAGTTTGTGAGCTGTGCCCGATCATTACCAGGTTTGTTCTGCCTGACATGCACAGTGTTTTCAGACCGCTACAGGATGCCGGTCTGAAGGTTGCACTTGGTTCTGTGCTGTAGCTGGGCTCTGTGTAACCATTGCAACAACCTAAAGTAGAGTCAGTATGACTACCCAAGGAGGGCTTTGACAGGAACAGCTTTCTTTCTTCAGACACCAGACTGGATGCTGTAGTGGTCTACTCTATGAAGGCAGTGGTGTGTTTCCTCTGTTCATCACTGAGATGAGACTGAACTGTTTGCAGCAGCCTGTAGGGGATGCTTCTGAGAGAGAAAACTGCTGTGACAGTCAACCACGATGACTGCCATTACCTGTGTGAAAGCATCGAAAATGAGTGGACTTCCAAAAACTCTGCATACTTTATTCTACTTATACCCACTACATATTGCCCCTACTTTTGCATTCCCTGTTTTAAAAGTACCATATAGCTTCTAAAACCAGCCGATCTTTAATTAAGACAAAAAGTGTAAGTACTCTGAAACACAAATAAAACTACTTATTGCCTGATGGATGATATGCAGTGTGTCCATTACATGTCACATTTCACTCAGCAATTCCTATCTGTGTAACTGGGAGCACTGCTTACCATCATCTTATGAATTAGCCAGACGCACATTTGGTTGTTCCGTTCACAAACGTTGCAGAACTCTTTCTCTATGTTCACCCATGTATCACCTCTGTTCTCTGCCTCTGAGAGACTTGATCACCCTCTGGGTGGCAAGTGAGCAGCCTGATTATAGGATCATAAGGATTCCTTTTCACATTTTTTAAAAGCCAACATATTTTTTTCTCCACTTTAAATTGATTTCAAGACTGCATCTCTTCAAGTTTGAAGTTTTGAAAACCTTGGCACCTGTAGTTGGCTGCCAGGGTTGTAAAATAATGAGGTAACTTGCTGAAATTTCTTCCAGATTCAAGGTATTTCCACAGGAAATATGGTTGACTCTCATATCACCAGCTAATTTTAAAGACAGAGGAATGACATTTCAGCTGTACTGCAAAGCAATCCAACTCTACAACTGCCAACACCTACAACTTATTACCCCATCTACCATTTACCCACACCCTGTCCCCTAGTGTCTTTGCACACCCCTTCTGTACATGAAAGGAGGTGAGAAAGTGATGGAGGCTCCCGCTTTAAGCCATGGTCTCTTTCCCGGGCAGTCTTCGGTCGTTGAAGGTATGCATGTTGATGACTTCCTCTGTTTTCACCATGACAGGTGGCTGGGGTTTGTGTTTGAGCCGCCGCTGGCACTTGAGGGAAACCCTCAGTTCGTTTACCATGGTGCTGCAGAAGGACCTCTGTAGAAGGAAGGAGAGCAGATTTTAGACAAAGCTCAAGTGTGTAGCATTTCCCGATCACACACCTACAACCTCATCTAAGGCTCTCTTCACAGTGAAAGGATTTGATGCTAAAAGGGGATGAAGGAGATGGAGGTGTGTAGCCATAAGCAGAAACGGTAGTTCAGTCACAGAGTTTGAACACCTCTGCAGATTGTTGCGTCTCATCCAGTGTTTTTATCCTTATGCTGAGGGATGTATGGAATAATATTCCAGCCTTTCTGTGGGTTTGTACTCACACACGCACATTTTTATCCAATATTTGGTTAGAATGGAGATTACACCTTCATATGCAGCTTGTTTTGTCATATTTGAACCGTTCAAATGATTAATAAATGAATAATAATGTGAACATACATTTCTTTCTAGCGACACCTTTTGTTGGTGTGAATGTGTGTGTGTGTGTGTGTGTGTGTGAATGGATGGATGACACACTGTAGTGTTAAGTGCTTAGGAGTCCTCTGACTCAGAAAGGCGCTATACAAGTGCGGGTCATTATTCATTTGTTATTTTTTAGAAGCATTTTTGACAGGTTAATCTGGGCATAACGTAATAGCTGCGTTTTCCCTGTAACCTCAGTAGCACATCCCCTCCAACTGGGAGCATTTCAGATATGCATCGATAGCGAAAGTGTTCCATGCAGCTGGTCTTGCAAGGTCATGAAATCGCCAGAGAATTGCAAAATCCGTGATGTCATCAGTTCACGATTACAAGCAAGTAAAGCAACATTTTATGCTTCACGGGCATTATGCAACACTTATAGCCTGGCAAGCCATCCTATATATGTGTGAATATATAGTCTGACCATGATCCATTGATGGCTCTCAAGAGCCGTCACCAATTTAGTTTTTTCAGTAACATCCCACCCCCAAAAGGGGGCTGTCATGGACGGCCACGGAGCCACCACCATCTTAGTTTTTCTCATTTACACAAACATCCCGCCCATCTTACTGATGGCCCAATGCGATTGGCCTACCAAACCGACAGAGCACTGTGATGGACCACTATGGATGTCAGTCAACAGCAGTCCGCCATACATCGTGAAAAAAGAAGGGACAAAGATGAAAATACAGAATTTTTGGACAACGAACAATGTGACGTACTCACCACTACGGATATCAGTCCGCCATACACTGCTGAAGGAGATGCAAATAGATCCTTTTTCTAAATAAATGACTTAAGGACCTCTATCTACTCATGACCCAAAGAAAAGCCCAAGTGTACATAGTCAAAAGTTGATGCCAAAAACCTTTCCAAACAAGCTGCCACCATCTTAGTTGCTCCACTCCATTGCATCATCTACCCACCTAATGGATAGAGCGCTATGACTTGCATAACACAAAACTGCTCAGGCCAATGGTAGACCTGCTGAGTTTCCAAACACTCATAATGTCCTAGAGAAATTTCAGTCTGGTTTTAGGGTGAACCACAGCACAGAGACAGCCCTTTTGAAGATTTTAAATGATTTTAGATTGAATTATGATAAACAGAAGGTGACTGTGTTGGTTCTACTGGATCTAAGTGCTGCCTTCAATACAGCAGACCACACTATTCTTTTAACTCATTTAAAACAGATTGGCCTCTCTGGTGCTGTCCACAGATGGTTCGCATCCTACCTCACAGACAGGACTTTTATGGTGAGTTTAGATACCTGTTCCTCGAGGGTCCATGGGATTACATGTGGTGTGCCCCAGGGTTCAATTTTAGGCCCAGTGCTTTTTAACATTTATATGCTCCCTCTTGGCAGTGTCATTAGGAGACATGGAGTCAATTTTCACAGTTATGCTGATGATACACAGTTGTATATCTCCATGTCTCCTGATGACTCTCAGCCAATGGACACACTTTTTAACTACATTTTAGACATCAAATCCTGGATGGCAGAGAACTTTCTCCAGCTCAAGCAGGACAAAACTGAAGTTTTAGTCATTGATCCTGAGGCCCAGAGAGAGACACTTTTACCGAAATTACAATCTCTGTCTTTCAATCCTTCTGAACAAGTGAAAAACCTGGGTATGATTTTTGATTCTTGAGTTGACTTTTATCCCGCACATTAAAAACCTCACAAAAATAGGTTTTTATCATCTAAAGAACATCATCAGAGTCTGCCCTATTCTCTCTCGGGCCAATACGGAGACGCTGATGCATGCTTTTATCACCAGTAGAATATACTACTGCAATGCCCTGCTTTCTGGTCTTCCCAAAAAGAGCATCTCAGGCTTACAACTCCTACAAAGTTCGGCGGCACGTGTCCTGATGAAGTCCAGGAGGCGGGAGCACATTACACCGGTTTTAGAATCAATGCATTGCATTGCTCTTCAGGCACTCGAGGAGTACAGACGCTTCCCACTTTCGCTCCCTTATCTTTTTTTCCCAAGGCTCTGCCCACAGAGCTTCTCTGCATTTCTTCTGAAAAACTCTATTTTTTACTAACCATGGATTTGATAAACTGGTCATTCAATGCGATCAATACGATTTTTTCAACAATGAGAACAGAACAGGGGGCTCCCACATGCGCACAGGGGACACACCCGGTGGGATATATTTTGGATTCCTGGAAGGAGTGGAAGATCATATGCCTCTCCTAGCTGTCCATTGAGAACATCGAAAACGTGTGGATATTTGGTCTGATGATCACTGGATTTCTCCTGATTGGAGTGGGAGGATATCTGGTTTTCTGGAAATTTGGGAAGACGGGAGCGATTGGAAGGCGACCCGCACCCATGGAAAGCACCGTCCGTGTGGAGACTTCTCAGACTAGGACGTTACTCGAGGTGAATCGTAAGCTGGACAATGTTCTGGCTGGGATACCGGTATTAGTGCACAAAATGGATGTCATCTCAGAGTCACCAGACGGTATAGACAGGTTTAAAAACCCAAAATTGGCTTCACTGAAGGACTGGAAATGATCAGTTTAAAGACTGAAGGCAGAGAGGATAATTATCTCAGCCTGACCCAAACAAATTCTTGTTATCCCAATCTGACGCCCTGGTAGCCTTGAGCTGCAAGCAAGTAAAACCCCCATGAAGGAATGCAGACAGATGCTGTGAAAACCCGACCTACCCCCCCCCCCCCCCCCCAAAGCCTCCGCAAAAACAGCGGAGTGCTTGCTGCTTGCCGGCCGCATCAGTGATCGGTGCGTCACCGGAGGACAAGGTAATGCGCCCCGCTCCACAGCGAAACACATCAGGCGCAAATAAAAGACAGAAAACATCAAAGGAAATGAACCGACATGAACGATTGCGTGTTAAATTAGTTTTTGAGGTGGCGACACCTGATTGTTACTCTTCCATCCATCTGATGCGGCTCTCTGTGCTTGTAAAATAATGAATGGATATTTAAATAAAATGCATTATATTTTACTGCATAAATTTTACATCTGTATGCCAATTCTAAATGTAAAGATTGTCTGCGTAAACCTGAACAGTTCCAACCCGGTCTTACTGTGAGACCGGGTAGACGCGTCACGCTTGTGCGTAATCATATGCGTGTTCTGAGCTGAAGATGTGAGATTCTGGGATTCTCCTCAGCTCCTGGATGTGTCGCCACATTGGAGACAGGAACAAGTGCTATTCAGCCAAAGTTTCATAATCAGGGAACATTTTCTAAGTGACGAGTCTCGCTTCAGTCGGAGGAATCTTCCTGCATGCGCTCTGGTTGTGCGACGTGCTCCAAGCCCCTCTCCACATCTTCAGCTCACTGTGCGCCGTACGTACGCGCTGACAGCGAGCTGCGCTGAGCTCAGTGTCCAGCTCAGATGGGAATCATTTCTTGAGTGATTTAGCTACATTTGCACAAAACGAATAAAGTGTCAGTTCGTCTGCATGCGTCGGGGTAATTCTTTCTATTCTTTCTCCGTCAAAATAAATATCAAATACGGGAACTATCCGGTCAACACAACACAAGCCCTGCTTTTAACTGTTCTGTTTTCTTGTGAAAATTGTTGCAAAGAGATAAAATTAAACTTGATTAACACCAGAGCCAGGCGCACTGCGCCGTTGTCTCCATCACTGTAAATGAGGGAAAACCAAACTGATTGGATCCTTTTCTGACCTTCCTAGGGATGGGCACCGAATTCGGTACTTTTGAAGGTACCGACCGAATTCCATAGTACCGACCGAGCACTGATTCACATCATTTCAAACGGTGCCTTGTTTCGGAACCCGTCCTTCATAACGAGAACTTGCCTAGACAGCTGCGCATGCGCAAGAGCGTTTTGCCGTCGGTCGCTGCGAGCCAGTTGTAAACAGAGCAGCACTGTAGAAAGAACGCACGCTAAAGCTTGGGTCCACTTCACTAAATGTGATGGGTAACTGGGTCATGATGAAATCAGCGACAACGATCTAAGTGAGACATCCTCATCTTAATCTGCTCCGGTAGGTAAATATAATTAGCTTGATATGTTAGCTTCCGTTTTGCTAATGGTGCGTTTGCTTTCTCCTCGGAACTCCGAATTCCCGACTAGAAGAACGCGCTCTAAAGTTTGGCTTCACTTTACTAAATGCAACGGGTGATTGGGTCAAGATGAAACCAGTGACAACGATCTGAGAGTGAGGCATCATCGTTTTAATCTGCTCCAGCAGCTAAATAAACTGTTTAAGATAACGTTAGTTTGGTATGCTAGCTTCCATTGCTACCATTGTTATCAGCTAATGGTGTGTTCGCTTTCTCCTCGGAAATTCTAACTTCCCAGTAGGAAAAATCAAATGAAAAAAGACGGCAAAAGGAATGAAGATACACAGTAAATTTAGTTCACAGTAAAGATGTTTGCTTCAGTTTAATTATCAGTTTATAAAATACAAACAGTTGAATGTTATTTATCGTGATATATATCAAATATTGTTATATATTGAGAAAAATATATATTTAATTATAAAAGAGAATTAAAATAATAAACACTCAAAAGTATCTAAAATTGGTACCGTTAAGTACCGGTATCGATTCATAAGTACCGAGAATTA